ACGTCCAGATATACAAACAACATTTTATATTAAGTGTGTGTGTGTGTGGGTGTTTCGTGTGCGCGCGCGGTCGCACGCCCGCCTGCTGTGTCATACTATATTTTATATACTATATACACCATATATACGCTATATACTATATACTACTATAGCGCGTACTAGCCCCTATATATACTACCGCCTACCGCCCGCGCAACCGCCCAGCTACCCTGAGGTATACTATACTTATACGGTACGTCCTATGACTACTATACTATTATAGTCCTATCATACATGATTATACTATATATATATATACTACCTATAGTTATACTAATATATATACTATATTATCCTCCCATATGAATACTTACATATATTCTACATAGTAATATATAGCTATACATTACATCATATATGATACTATATATACCTATACTACATATTATATATATATATATATAATATTTTTTTTTTTTACACATAAAACACAATAAATTAGTGGAGTTGGGGTCGCGGGCTGTTCCAGTATTTGATTGCGTTTGGAAAAGTTGTTAGCAGGTCCGCCCACAAGACAAAAGGCATGGTGAGAACCGTCCATAAGAAAAATATGTGGTGTAGCAGAGCGTTTGCCTCTTGTTCTTTCTTTTCCTACCCCATAAATAACCTCAACAGACCCCTCAGATTCATCTTGTGATCCAACAACTCACACACCCACTCCCCTCTTACCCTCTCTCTCTCTCTCTTTCTCTCCCACCTTGTCTCTGGTATCTTGGCGAGGGATCAGGCATCAGGTCCCCCTCTCTGTCTTTGGTGGGGGCTGCGTTCTTCCGCGCTCCAGCACCCACACGGGGCAGCGCATCGCACACCGTTGTCAAGTCTCAGGGGGACCTGCTTTCTGTTTGGCGCGGAGAACGAAGATATTCAAGTCACTTCCCCATTTCCTCTACAAGCTTTCTTCAAATACTTGATTCAAGAGAAAGGAACGGAGAGAAAGGGGGGAAATGAGGTTGCGCCTGTTGGAGAGACCAAACCACCTCCCACCACAGAGGGAGGAGCCATAAGAGCATCTTATAAATGGAAGAGAGGAGGGCAGCAGGGGGACTTGCACATTTCAGGTTTTCAGAAGTATACATGAACCTGAAATACAGTAGTAGCCATACTTGGCATGGCCTCTCTACCTCTCCTCCGTCAAATTAAATGCCTATTCTTCTTTTCAGGGCAGCTCATTGGACTAATGCCCCTGTTAGGTTTACCATTTACAAGAATTCTTTTTCAAGAAAGGTTTTCAAAAAGGTTAGACACCGTTTTATCTATTTTGTACAAAAATATGCACTAATTTTGGTATAGTATGCCACTGCTCACACAGTACAGGTTGTAATTTCTGGATGTAGTTGTATGTTGCCAGTTAGGCCTTTAAAGCCAAAGGAAATCAACAAATTTGTTTTAATAGGACACACCAACTAACTTTCCTGTGAATAATGATTTTAGTTGTTGACGCTCCAAACTGTGTAACCTACTGGAGTTGCCTTCCTAACTATGAATAAGCCCATATAGCCATTTCCCTCGAAGGCAATTTAACCTTTTCCTGTAATTAATTGAAGCCGTAGCTCGCTGGTGTAGGTCTGTCATCTCCTGTACTTTTATTTGATTTTTGGTTTTTCAGCACATTTATTTTACTAAATCAAGCTTAAATTAATGTTTAGGTTTGATTTATTTAAGTTTCATCGAGGACACCCTCAGTTGGTTTCTCACGTAGCTCTTGGCATTCAAAAACAAAATGTGCATTTACTGTGCAGTAGGATACGGTTTAAAATCTGTTTTGACATTTTTTTGCGCTTGCTATATTTTCAGTGCCTGTGAAGGAGAGACTTGGTTTATTTGGTGGTTTTTTAACTGTTAAACTGTTCTTTTTTAAAAACTAGCTTCTGACATGTTATTTGATTTTCTAAAACAAACGGCTTTTAGCCCCGGCTTATTGCCTGATTACCAAACACACATCTACTTAGAAACTGATTTCTATTTTTGTTATCTGCCCCACCAACACACATTCTTACTCTTTAATAGTGACGGGACTGCGTGTCCTCCAGCTCAGAAGCCAACTGGGAGTTTCTTCCTGTATATTTGTAAATGTTACACCTAAGCGTTGTTACACACAGTTTTTGTATAGAATCGGAAGAATCGTTACCCCATACAGCATAAAGAAAAACAAAAATGGTTCTCTATTGAAAAGTTTTGAATAACATAATGATTTGTACAGCCTAACTGGTGTTTTCAGTCCGCTTAAACTTTCTTTCCCATCTCGTTGTATTGGCACTTAGGGGGGGGCAGCATTGTATTACTTAAAATGCTGTATGTGTGCTGGCCATGGGTGGCACTCAGCGATATTGGCAGGCTTTGTCCTTGAAATGAGGTGCTGAATGCCTTTTATTCCTGTCCTTACCTTCTACCTGCTTCACAGGATAATCTCCATTTGAATCCTCGGGTAACATCTGCTAAAGCCACATTGGCTCAGCTACACGTTTGATGCTTCCCCTGGCGGTCTCATAGGAGGCCATCTTATTCGAGCACAACTCCCCATGGAGCAGAACACGCAGCTCTCTAACCGCTTAGGAATGCAAAACACACGTCACTTCGCGTGGCTGCGCTACCGGTCTGGTTGCTGTTCTTTGTTTGGCCCTGTCTTGTCTTGAGGCCATCTCCTATCTTCGAGCCCACGACACACGCGCCGCTGCGGCGCGGCGACCTTGTGTTCAGGTAGCAGCCGGTTGCACGACGCGTCGGAGGTCAGCTGCTACTGCAGCCTTCCCGCGGCCACACACCATGGGCTGGAAATAATTACCGGCCCGGTTTCGCTGCGGCCCACCTGGGAACAGTTAGCCTGTGAGTGTTACCAGCCCCGACTCTGCGACTTTTGGGGAGCCAGCTTTGTGTATCCTGCGCTTTGATCCCACACAGCGAGGACCGACGACACTAAAGTGACTATGTGTGCGACGTCAGCTGCGAGGTGTGGTGATGGAGCGGGCGGCTCCGCCCCATCCTTTCAGTTTCGGCGCGCTGCCCCAATGAACAGTGAACCGCAGCGTGGCGACTGCATGAGCCACGTAGGTTGGCAATAGCTCATTTTGAGCCACCATTACAGGGGCGATGATTCTGTCGTATAGCTGTTCCATGAGACTGAAGATGCAGCCTTTCACGGGTCCTTCGGTTAGTTGAATTATTACACTGGCGGTTCGTATTGGTGGTTGCGCCTTTTGTTTGCGTTGCCTGCTGTTCGCACGTGCTCTCACTAATACAGCGCAGCATAAAGAACAGCTCCACACCCGTGGTCAGCCTGACCTCCGTATTTTGGCGTGACTAAACCATTTGGCCAAAGAAAAGGAGACCAGGGACACCGACGACAGGCAGCAACGACAGCGTATCTGCCGCGTGGTTCTCCTTACACCCGTGACAGCCATCACGCATGCGTGTGCTGCTGGCTGAGGAGAAGGCAGAGCCAAGATAAAAGCCAGCCTCTGCTCAGTTGTGTGCAGGTACAGGGACCCACTAGCAGGCTCTGGTCAGTGTCCTCGCTGCTCTCTGCGGGCACATCGTGATGTCAGACAGGGCCTCACCCCCTGTGCCTCAGCCCCGAAGCTGCCACCCATCATCTCCTTCCTCGTTAATTCCCCTTCCACTCCTCAACACTGCCTGCTTCTGATTCCAAGAGTTAAGGTCCAGCAGGTAACGCCTCCCACTTGAGTGCCACGGCATAGCAACAGAGCCACCGGATGCGTGCGCGCGTGCCGTGCTAGAGCGACCCGGCGCCGCGGATCTCGCTCCACGTTCACCTCGCACCCTGTGTGTGGAGGGCGTTTGGGTAAACACCCTGAGGCCTGCCGCAGAGCGGAGAAAACGGAAAAACAGTAACCACAGTCCACCCTGCATTGCGCGCGTGTGCCCATGACATTTATCTAGAAGCGGGACGTGTTGCACTGATGTGCTTACATTCAGTGCGCGCGGCGTTGCTCATTTTTGTTTTCACCCCGAGGGGGGTGAGATTATATAATAGGAACCATGTGTCTTAAAGGAATTCTATTTGCGTGGGTGTGTGTAGGCGGACGGCCTCAGGCCTCCTGCACTATTTGGTCTGTACCCGGCTGATGGGTGCTTTTATGGGGGTCTGATTTCAAGAAGTGGGGCGATGTTGGAGTGGCGCTCTAGATGTGGGCTTCGCCAGCAGCGCGGCTGTTTCTCTTGCACCTTTTATGATAGGTCTGTCCACAGCTCGTAAGGACGATTGCGCGCGTTCTGGCTTGTTTTACCCTGGACCAGGACGGGCCCTCACGTCGTTGAATGATGGTTAGGAGGCCTGGCCCGGCGAGTGACCGTTCGCCCCTGGGCCGCCCAGTTTCTTACATGGAACTCAGATTGGGTTGTATGAAGAATCTGGCTGCCCATTAAGGTAAGACGCGCCCCTGTACCTAGCCCCTGCGAGTGAATAAGAAGGGTTGTGATATTTTTTTGCATTGAGCCGGTCGTGCTCTCGCGCAGAACCAGCAATCGAAGACGGGTGCACAGACTTCCCAGTTGCGTGCTATCCCACCTGCAGTTCATGGGCTGTGTGCAGACAAATTTCAATACTAAAAGTCAGTTGAATTAACCCCTTTTATCCTTGTGCAACGCCCTTCCTTGCGCCGCGCTGACCTATTGTTGATTAAGTCTGTTTGGAGTTCCAGTGAATAGGAACTCCCTAGGAGGGACATGAAACATGCTTGATTTGGATGAAACTGCATGGTGGCCGCCTGCATCCAGTCGCGCCTGCATTTATCATCCATTAAGATGCAGCAAAGAATCCAGCAGCCTATAACCAGTTTTATTCCTGAAAGGAAAGGAATGATTTTCCAGCCTTTCCTGAGGAATTCAGACCCGTGGAATAGAAGCATGCAACAACAGTTCATTATTTACACCCGCGGCGCCCCGTCACAAGTCCATCCTGTCGTCGCCACGCCTTGTTCACTCAGGTTTGAATGGGCTGACTCTCTGAGTACCCTCTTTCTGTACGTAATAAACTTGGGCCCTAATTCGACCACGAGCCACCTACTTGCTTTGCGGCCTGGAGATACTATAATAGACCAGACTCTATCATTTTATAATTATAATAAATAATTATTATATATATATATATAATAATGTAATAATAAATATAAATATATATATTTATATATATATAAAAAAAAATAAATATATATATATATATATATATATATATATATTTTTTTTTTTTTACACATAAAACACAATAAATAGTTGAGTGGTTTCCAGTATTATTGGTTTGAGTTGTTAGCAGTTCCGCCAAAGACAAAAGATGTGAGAACCGTCCATAAAGAAGAATATGTGTGTAGCAGAGCTTTGTTTGTTCTTCTTTTCTACCCCATAAATAACCTCAAGACCCCTCAGATTCATCTTGTGATCCACAACATCACACACCCACTCCCCCCCTCTTACCCTCTCTCTCTCTCTCTTTCTCTCCCACCTGTCTCTTATCTTGCAGGGATCAGGATCAGGTCCCTCTCTGTCTGGTGGGGCTGGTTCTTCCGGCTCCAGACCCACACGGCAGCGCATCACACGTGTCAATCTCAGGGACCTGCTCTTCTGTTTGGAGAACGAGAGATATTCAAGTCACTCCCATTTCCTCTACAAGGGCTTTCTCAAATAGGCTTGATGTCAGAGAGAAGAGGAGGAGGAGAGGGGAAAGGGGGGAAATGAAGTGTGTGGAGAGACCAAACCACTCCCACCACAGAGAGAGCATAAGAGACTCTTATAAATGAAGAGGAGGAGAGCAGAGACTTGGCACATTTCAAGGTCTTTCAGATATACATGAACCTGAAATACAGTAGTAGCCATATTGGATGGCCTCTCTACCTCTCTCCTCAAATAATGCCTATTTTCTTTCAGAGCAGGCATGGACTAATGCCCCTTTATTTACCATTTACAAATTCTTTTTCAAGAAAGTGCAAAAATAGACACGTTTTATTATTTTTGTACAAACAAATGACTAATTTGTACTAGTATGCACTGTCACACAGTACAGTTTATTTTCTGATTATTTGTATGTGCATTAGGCTTTAAAGCAAAGGAAATCAACAAATTTGTTTTAATAGAACACCAACTAATTTTATTGAATAATGATTTTAGTTTGAACTCCAAACTGTGTAACCTACTGAGTTGCCTTCCTAACTATGAATAAGCCATATAGCCATCCCGAAGCAATTAACCTTTCTGTAATTAATGAAGCCGTAGCTCGCTGTGTATCTGTCATCTCCTTTACTTTATTTGATTTTGTTTTTCAGCATATTTATTTACTAAATTCAAGCTTAAATTAATGTTTAGTTATTTATTTAATTTCATGAGACACCTCAGTTGTTTTCACGTAGCTTTGATTCAAAACAAAATGTGCATTTACTTGCATAGGATATGTTTAAAATCTGTTTTGACATTTTGTTTGGTGTATAGTTTTCAGTGTGTGAAGAGAGACTTGTTTATTTGTGTTTTTTTAATCTGTTAAACTGTTCTTTTTAAAACTAGTTTGACATGTATTGATTTCTAAAACAAACGGCTTTTAGCCAGTATTGCTATACCAAACACACATCTACTAGAAACTGATTTCTATTTTTGTAGCTGCCCACCAACACACATTTTTACTCTTTTAATAGTGACGGACTGTGTCCTCCAGCTCAAGCAACTGGAGTTTCTTCCTGTATATTTGTAAATGTTACACCTAAGGTTTTACACACAGTTTTGTATAGAATGGAGAATTTACCCATACAGCATAAAGAAAAACAAAAATTCTCTATTGAAAAGTTTGAATAAATAATGATTTTACAGTAACTGGTGTTTCAGTCCTAAACTTTTCTTTCCCATCTCGTTGTATTGCACTAGGGGGCAGCATTGTATTATTAAAATGTGTATGTGTGCTGCATGTGGCACTCAGGATATTGAGGCTTTGTACTTGAATGAGCTGAATGCCTTTAATTCCTTCTTACTCTACCTGTTCACAGATAATTCCATTTAATCCTCTAACATCTGTAAAGCCACATGTAGTACACAGTTTGTGTCCCCTGGGTCTATAGAGGCATCTATTGAGCACAACTCCCATGAGCAGAACACGCAGCTCTCAACCTAGAATGAAAACACACTCACTCGACGTCTGCTACCAGTCTGTGCTGTTCTTTGTTGGGCTGTCTTGTTTGAGTCCATCTCCATTATCAGCCCAACACACGGTGCATTGGTAACAGCTGCAACATCAGCTGCTAACATTCACCACAACCATGGGCTGGAAATAATTAGGCCGTTCTGCCACTGGGACAGTAGCCTGATGTTACAATGATTGGGAGCAGCTTTTGTATCTGCGTTGACCAAAGAGGAACAATAAGTGCATATTTGGAGCTATCAGTGGTGATGAGCCCCATTTTCATTTTCCATAATGAAAGTGCATATGGGAGCCACTAGGTGGCAATAGCTCATTTTACCACATTACAGGATGATTCTGTTATAGCTGTCATGAACTGAAGATGCAGCTTTAGGTTCTTCGTGTTAGTTAATATTAACTGGTTCTATGTGGTTGGCTTTGTTTTTGCTCTGTTCGACTCTCATAATACAGACTAACAGTCCAACCTGTCAGGCACTCCTATTTTGTATAACATTTGGCCAAAAAAGAGACAGACACACACACACACACACTATCTGCTTTCTTTAATAACATCACGGCATTGTGCTGCTGTGAGAAAGCAGAGCCAGATAAAAGCCAGGCTTTCAGTTGTGAGTACAGAACTAGCAGTCTCTCATGGTGTCTCTGTCTGGTGGCAATGGTGATTCAGGTAAGGCCTCACCCCTTGTGCCTCAGCCCAATCCAATATTTTTCCTGGTAATTCCCCTTCCACTCCTCAACACTGCTGCTCTTTCAGAGTTAAGTCCACATAAGCTCCCACTTGAGTGCCACAGGCAGAGCAACAACAGGGATGGTGCGGTTGCCTAGCGACATCTCAGTCACTGCACCTGAGGGTGTTGGGTAAACACCCTGAGCCTGCCAGAGGGAAGAAGAAAGAAGTAACATCACTGCTTGCTTCCATGACATTTATTAAAGGGGACTGTTATTAATTTGTTACATTCAGTGTTGTCATTTTTGTTTTCACCCCAGGGTGAGATTATATAATAAACCATATCTAAAGGAAGTTTATTTGCGTGTGTGTGTAGGCACGCTCATGCCTCTGACTATTTGTCTGTACTTGGCTATGGGTGCTTTTATGGGTCTGATTTCAAGATGGGATGTGAGTGCTCTGATAGTGCTTCTCAGCAGGGTGTTTCTCTTGCACTTTTATGATAAGTCTCACAGTCTAAAATTCTTTGCTTGTTTACCCTGACAGACGGGCTCAGTTTTAATGATGGTTAGAGGCTGATGAACGTTCCCCTGGCCCCCATTTCTTACATGAATCAGATGGTTATGAAAATCTTTATTAAGGTAAGACCCCTATAGCTAGATGAATAAGAAGGTTGTGATATTTTTTTCATTGACATTTTGCAAACCAATGAATTCAAAATTCCATTCGTAATCCCACTGTATTCATGCTGTGAGACAAATTCAATACTAAAAGTCAGTTAATTAATTTTATCCTTTTCAACGCCTCCTTGCATATTGTTGATTAAGCTTTGAGCTTATGAATAAAACTCCTAGGAGGGACATGAGAATGTGATTTGGATGAACTGATGTGGCACGCTGTGATCCAGTCGCTGCACTTTATCATCCATTAAGATGCACAAAAATCCAGCAGCCTATAACCAGTTTTATCCTGAAAGGAAAGAGAATGATTTCCAGCCTTTCCTGAGGAATCAGACCCTGGAATATAACATGCAACAACAGTTCATTAGTTTACACCCCCTCACAAGTCCATTTCCTGTGCGTCAGTGCTCTTGTTCCACTCAGGTTAATGCTGACTTTAGGACTCTTTTGTTATGGGGTCGACCAGGGCACTCTGCTTTGGCCTGGAGATACTATAATAAGACCAGTGTTTATGACTGCTGCTGAAATGGGTTTGTAAGCGCGGCTGAACCTGTGAGGTATTGATGTGGGGGTTAATAGCCTGTTGGCCTCTTTAATGGAGCTGAATCAGGTCAAGCAGCAGGCAGTGTCAGCCCACAGGAGAGGAACATCTCCATTTACAAAGTCATCTCCTATATGAGGCAGGACAGGCACCAAAATGTGTTGAGTGTATACACCTGTGGTTCACACAGAGAAATGTGTGACGTGCACTCGAACACACACTCACACGCACACTGGAACATACAAGCTAAGGTGACTCTAAATGACAAAGGCTGATGTGAAAATCCAAAGGCTTTTTGCATTTTAACCCACTGATTTTGTGTGTCAACAGTGCTTTGTTGTACTGTACATTGATCTTACTGTGATCCTCTAGACTCTTTAACGTTATTTGCTTGACTAAGGTAAGAATTCAGTTTCCAGTGTGGTAGTACACATTGGAAGACAGACTTTAAAAAAACAAAAGGCTGAGAGAGTCTGTGTAGGCACCGCAGCACTTTGGCATGCAGCCCAAAGTACTTTACATAGCAAATTGAAACAACACATAAAATCAGAATGAACAACCATTAATACCATTGGACAAACCTAGAAATGAATACAATAAAAACAATAAAATAGATTAA